TTATTTGATTGGACCAAGCAATATTTCTTTAAATTGAGATGGAAATTCCTCGTCTCTTTCATTGAACATCGTTTATATTAATGTCACGTGATTCCTAACCTAACCACGTGATCGACTTTTTTGTTTAAAAGATTTATGTATAGATGTTATGTTAGATCCATTTAGCATGTAAATATAATATATATTATTTTTTAAAATAATATTAAATTATTAAAAATTAAAAAATAATAATAATCTAATTATTTTCGTCCAAACTCTACAAATTTTTGTTCACAAATTATATATATTTCCTATTTTAAAGAAATATTTGAATGACATATTTTTTGTATTTTTTTGATGGTTATTCCACCATATATATCTTCTTTCACTTTCGAGTCTAATTCCAAGTAGCATAGAGTAATTCGTATAAGTTATTAGGTTACCTAATTAAATGAATTACTGAATTAGTTCTCAAGAGTCTGAAACTTCATAACAAATTAGAATTTTCATTCAATGTATGGTAAGAAAATACGAGAATATGACAGATTGTATATTATTTCTTCAAGACATTACTTTGAGTAGCAATTGAGGTAATTAAAGGAAAGTATCATATGGATGCAAAATACACTCAAGTTGTAATATCCTTAATTAATTTTAATTATATTAAAATTAATATATAAATATAATTTTTTAATTTTTGAATTTGTTATTTAATGTAAAAATGAAAAAAAATAGGTGGATGATGAAATTAAAAATAATTTTGGAGAAAATGGGTGAAAATTTGGGTTTTAAAGGTGTTTTTGAAAGAAAAATAAAAAACAAAGAGTCAAAATATAATTTAAGAAAATTGTATCATGTAGGACGCCCAGTCAGCAGCCCCGACGTACCGGAGCGCGTCGCGTGACAAGGCACGCTGACGTGGTGCCACGCGGGAGGCTACGCTGGCGATCTGCGTGCCCGCGATCGAACGATCTGGATTTGTTCTCGCACGCACGGACAGTCCGAATCTAAGCTCTTTTAAAATGCGATCGGATGACCCAGATCAAATTACGATGAACGGTGCAGATCCACTTTCTATTTAAACGCGATCAGACAGTCCAACTCAAATTGCAATGAACGGTACAAATCAAATGCGATAGACGGCCCAAATTAAAAGAAGATGGATATAAATAACCCTCTTCACACCAAATCCTAACCCTAACCGTCAGACCCTCCCGTCGGAGAAGAAGACCTAGTAGCCGGGAAGGGAGTCGACTACTGTCTGTCGCCGCGTCGAAGCCACTTCCAACCACCAAAAGAGGTAAAAAAAATTTCATTCGCTCAAAATTCAATTTTGAATACCCCCATAGTCAAATCGGAGCAAAAGAACTGATGGATGAGCAAAAAACTGCAGACAAAGCCCAACGATGCTGCTACGAGAAAAAGCAAAAATCGTCTCTGATGAGACCCTTTTCGATTCCCATTTCATGTAATCTTTCCACCATTGTAATCACCATTCCTTTCTATACAGATTGACCGAAGTAAAACACCCAACAGCGAAGGTCAACTGGCGGAGCCACCGCACCAGAAAACTCTGTCATCGGTAAGCTTCGATTTTTCGACTTTTTTCAGCCAACTGAGATCCCTTACCGTGTTTTCTCACAGGGATGGGTACAAAACTAGTCGAAACTGGTCATAAAGGGCCAACCGAGGCAAACCACTGCCGCGAGCGGCGAAGCTACCGTGCCGAAATTTCGAAATTGGCCAAAAAGGGTTTCTAACACTAATTTTAGATTTTTTAGAATATTTCTTAGTACTTGGAGCGTGTTTTAATCCCCGAAGGAAAATTAAAGGAATACGGAGACCGCCAATTGGCACAGCCAAAAGTTTAGCAGTTTGACACCAATTTGAGTAAGAATCCATCATCTTATTCTCTGTTATGGAATTGAAGTTTAATTAATAATAATATGGTATTTTGTGTAGTTTAGAAAATATTCATAATTAATTACAAGTCACTAATGGACCTAGAACTAGCTATTTATTACTGTTTGTCGTGTTTAGTTGATTGGTTGATTTGACAGTTTCGAATGTATGATAATACACTGAAATTAGTATGATGATGCTATTGTGTTTCATTGATGCATGTATTGCTTGTTTTATGTAATTACAGTTAAATTGAGAAACTAAAAATTAAAGGTAAATAAAAAATTATTTAATTAAGTAAATGGATGAACGGTAGCTTTACTGGATATCTTGGGAGATGGTAGACGGACCGGGTACATAGAGAATCCTACCGTGAACGTTGCCTCATACCGGACGAGATATCAAGAATTAGTATTTTGACGCTCATACCGGACGGGGTATGGAGACGGCCCGTTTCACCCTCATGCTAGACAGGATATTGAGGGATGATATTTTATCGCTCATACCAGACGGGGTATGGGGACAGTCCGTTAATTGAAAATGTTAAAAAAAAGAAAGTTCACGCATAGTGGGGACATCCCTATGGACCCCCATGGATACCAGTAGACTGATAAAAGAGAAAGTTATTGTTGCCGACTGATTGCATATGAGATTATGATATTGTTTATTTTACTGACTTTATAGATTAGTTTTGAAAATCTCGCTACAGTAAGTATGCGGTAAACGATTTTATTTATGATAAACGAATTTACTTAAATTAAGAGTTTTATTAGTTGTTTTCAGGATTTTTACCAACATTCATTTCTGTATCGATGAGTAACGTAATATTCTTGTTAGGCTAGTGTAACTTACTCTTTCATTAACCATTTCAGATCAATAGAACCAAGATTCAGATCTCGATTCACAAGAGGATTACGAATAGGATGCCCAATTGTTTATTTTCAATTTATTTCTTTAATTTTCGTTATTTCATTTAAAATGGTCATTCCCATAACTCTATTGGGTAATCTGAATTATTGTGTAAAAAGTGTAAACTCTAACTATTTATTTCATTTCTGCATTCAATTTATAATTTATTTCCTTTCAAGTTCACGGGTCGTCACACAAGTAGCTAGTCTATATCACATGTTAAATGTCTTATACCTTTCTATCATGTACAACTTCGAACTTAATTTTTGAATTTTGAACAATGACAATTAATCGTTTGATTTTACTTTTAATATAATCAATGTTGACTCTCTTTATTTAATAGTTGAAGTATTTAAAAGTACAATAATTATTTTTGGTGAGTCTTTTGCCTTAGATTCTCTTGTGAGAGTAAATTACTAAGAGTACAGAACGAGTTTTTGAGAAATAATGATTATTTAAGAAGTGGGAATGGTGGAAGAATGTAATACTCTAATTTTTCTCTAACTGAATTTTTTCTTCTTTTGATATTTATTATGATTCCTTCATTTGGAATAAATAAAAATATTACAAAACGGGTACCCATTTCTTTCTTTCCAATAATTAAGAAACTTGTGATCGACATATTTTTTTTCTCGTAGTATATATTATAACTTCTATCCTGTAAATGTTCTACCATAAAACAAAATAATAAGAATTATTGAATTAACAGGAATATCAAATGATCTAAATTACCTGAGGGGAAAAATACGTAAGAAAACAACAGCATCCAAACCGGCGATTGACAAAAGTTGTTCTTCAGAGACATCCCATGCCCTTTTCACCCAAGTAAAAGAAGGTAATAATCTCTTCAAGTTAAATCGTTCATGTCGCTGCAATATTTCTTCATGAACAAAATGTGGAGCATAGACTGTGATAAAAGCTGGTTGTTTTCTCAATATAGAAAATAGAGTGAGAAATAATAAAGTAAGGCCAAGGTTGACTGCAACAGAAGTAATAAATGCTGAAAGAATCATCCCCTCACAGCAACCTCCCTCAAGATCCCTTAGCTCTTCTCAAGTGCTCAACAGTAACCAGAAGGAGTGGGTCACCTAATACTACAAGTTACGTAAAATATAAATTAGTATTAATCTTCTTGCTATCTTAATTAAAATCAAGCAAACATATGTATATATTATTTCTCTTACTGAAAAAAATAATTTTCATAAAGGATAATTAGTTTCATCATATCTTTCAATCAGAATTACAAATTTGACTACTTAATTGCACATGATCTTACTTCATTAATGACGATCAAATCTTTGAATCAAACTTATAAATTTTACTCAATAGGTCCACTTTAAAGTTTTAGAATATCAAACCGTGGAAGTTTATCCAAAATATATATATATATATATATATATATATATGGCCATTGTTGACAAGCTAGGTAGGATACCAATATATTCTAATAAAGGTAAGAAATAACTTTTTTATAATAAATCCAAAAGGAATGATGTATTAACCTCATAAAATAGATAGAGAAAGTCAATCCAACATATGGTAATATACCACAAGTATAGAGACCTACCTAAAGAAGTTAGAAACAAAGCTCCTTAAGAATTATCCTTATGGTTTCTGGTATCAACTACGTATTAACCAAGGAAGGGACACTAGGTCTCAAAGAAACACCAAAAACTAAAAGGATAATTGATCAATATACAATAGAAAAAACCTTCTACAACTAATGAAATTCACAATGCTAAGCGCGTGTCTATCTTAAATTCTTACAGATATTTGTAAGGAAAAGACAATCAAATAGTCACCATCTCCAAATTCCAATAGTAATAAGGAAATATAACTCAAATGTTGCTACTTTTGTAGTATGCCTAGACAAATCATTGATTAAGGTGGAATCTAAATACTAAGATCAAGAACCTCGTTCAACAAGACTAATATAAATGAAATGTGGTGGTGAACTACTAAAAATGAAAAGAGAAACATATGAACAAAAGAACTATGGCCTTGATGAATATAAAGAAACCCACCTATGCACTAGTAAGGTTTCATTTTCACTAGTAGAAAGCTTTCATTAGATATCATGATAGAAAATGTTTGTAAATTCTCTTTGGTGATGTGCTTTATAAAAAATAATAGATACTTTGATATTAAGCATAATCTTTTTTCATGAATATCTAAAATAATTTAAAAATATATGGTGTATTCCTTTAAATCTTTAGAACTGTTCACAAAGATCTAGTTGGTGGTTCTCCACTGAATACAAAAATAATTAAAATAATAATAATAAGAAGCTCATATAAGACCTCTCACGAAGATAATTCATAGAGATGAAAAAAAAGTTTAACTTAGAGATTAACTCATAAGGAGGAAACCTAAAAATAAAATACAAAAAGAGAGAAAAAAAAATGTAAGGTCAACTATTTACTAACAATTCGTTAAAAATATCATTTAAATGATAATATTTTATAAAATAATCAACAATAAACAAGAAAGAGATTTACATAGTTTGGCATTTTAAAGATAAAGAACCAGGAAGCACATGCTACTACACATAACCAAAAAAATAATAATAATAATGATAAAATCCAAACCCTTAGACTACCACACAAACCATAAACAAAGATTAAATAAAACAAAAAGAATCAATAAAAAGAAACTTGACATAAGACCAAAAATTACCAAGCCTTTATAAATAGACGAAATCAAGTTAAAGGAAAGTCTTTCTAGAATTTCTTACTTACTCTTGAACACACTTTTTCTTTCTTATATTTTTGTACGACTCTCACTAAGTTGGATATTAAAGTGACCCATAAGATTAGAATCTCTATATTTTATCTATTTATAAATAAAATTAAAATAATACAACTTGATTTTCGTTATAATACTACGTTAATTATGTAAACGTTAAGATTCTTTATAATACCATAAAAATGAGCTTCTACACAATTTTATATGAAATTAAGATAATGCAATTTAATTTCGTAAAACCAGTACCTTGCACATTGAGCAAACTGCATGCAGTAAAGAATTCATGAATATATCCATATAGACACACACGCATAATTTATCTCTTCTAAATCAGATTCTCCTTACACGAACATCATGAATGCAGATCACACTTGGTTTTACAGACAAATTAATTTTGATAACTAAAGCAAGAGAAAAGTTATACCTGAGTTAGGGTGAGAGAAAGAGAGAAGATGTGCAAGAAAATGAAGGTGGCTGGTCAAGAGCAGAGATAGAGGAAAGTTACACTTGAGTTTAGAGGGTGAGAGAAAGAGGGAAACGTTCAAGAAGATGAAGGTGGCTGGCTGGCTGCAAAGTTGGCTGGTCAATTAAACAAGCAAAAAACAAAAAAAAAAAAAAAACAAGAAGAAAAATAAAAAAGAAGGTTGAGACTTAAGCTTCACTAAATTCATTTGATATAATTAGCAAACATGGAAGTGTGATCAATTAGTGCTCGATGGAGAAAGTGAAATCCACCGAATCCACCCTTTTAATTTTAACTTTCTTCTGTTTATTTATCACACAGAATTTATAACTACTCCACTTGGATTCAATGAATTTCTCCTGTTAATTCATATAATTAACTAATATTATTATAGTCACGGTATATATATATATATATATATATATATATCCACCCATTTGTGTTTTTCTCAACTTTTTTCACATGTCTATATATATATATTTCATTTGAGTGGCTATATATGTGTGATTAAAATGTTTGCTATTTGTTGGCATATGTGGTAATCTCATGTTTCATAATTTTTTTTTAGATTTTTTAACTTGGTTAAACTCTCTCTTAATAATATTTTTTATTTTTCACATTTATAAATAAATTTGTTTTAAATCATAAATTTTAGCAGATGGATTTGGAAGTAAAATAAATTATTCCTAAACCTTCTGTTTCTTTTTCCCAACAAAAAGTTTGGAACTAAAAAATATTCAAATAAGATAAAAGAATATATGTGTAAATTATACAAATAAGTAAATAATCATAGATTATAAAAATAAATATAATTAATAAATTAAGTTAAAAGAAAGTTAGATATATATTGAGTAAACTCGTATTTTTTTTTTTAATAAATTAATATTCTTAAAAAATTAATTTATTCGAAATATTGAAATTATAAAATACACAATTGATGCATCTTAAACCCATATACATAAGGTACTTATGAATAATTTAATAGATTATTTAAAACATGATACATATTTCATTCCACAATACAACACCACCTTCTAAGTTCTCTACAGAATTTGTCTATTGGCTAATCAATTGATGCATCTTAAAGTAATATCAAACCCATGTACATAAGGTACTTGAAACATTTTTAGAGCTTTCAAACATTTATTACAGTCAGTACAGTACTTTATATATTTTAGTTATGATTTCAATATGAGAAATTCGATAGAATTGAGATGAAAAAGTTACATAAAATATACAAACGTACAAGTATGTCTTTAAATACACATCAAATGACACTCGTGAAGCACGTGTTGAAAAAACTAGTTTTAGTTATAAAGCTAGATAATGATGACAACCCGCGTCATTGGGCTACGTTAATTATTTATGCTATTAAGTAGTACATGCATGTATTAAATAATAAATTATGTACGAAAATAAATTTTTAATGATGAGCGAAAGGACTAATAAATGTATATAAATGCTAGAAAACTTGCACATCTATTCACATAAGAATATGAAATTTACAGATTTATTTGTAAGAATACTTAGTTTAACAAAAATATGATCAAAATTTTCTCCAAAAAAAAAAAATTAAAATCATATAAAATTAGAACAATACGTTTAAGATTATAAAGATTTCAATTAAATTTTGATCAACTTGTTGATATTTTGATATAATTTATATTTTTTCTTAATTAATTAAGTATTAATTTTGAATAAATTTTATAACTATCCGGCTTTAATTGGAATGATTATGTTATTGGATTTTAATCAACCTTGCAGATTTATACTTAGATTTACTATGTATAAAAGTTATTAAATTTAATTAAATATTTTTAAAATAATCTGGTACAGTTAAACGAATTTTGTACATTAATATATTAAATTCAAAGTGTGAGTTTTATTTTATGTGTAGAGATAAAAAAAAAAAAGTATTTTCTGTTGGTTATGTATTTAGTCCAAAAAATAAATAAATTAGTAATTTAAAATAAAAAAATTTTAAAAAAAATTAGGGTTGTTAGTTTCCTTATATATATGTATGTTGCATAAAAAAAAAAATGTTCAGAGAAAGAGAGAGGCTGTGTGGAAAAGAAAGAGAGAAAGAAGAAAAAAGAGAGAAAATGAAGAAGAAGAAAAATAGGAAAGGGTATATATATATATATATACATATACGTATGGTAGAGTGGCAGCCAAGAGAAAAGAAAAGAAGGAAGGGGTCATTCTCTCATCAGTGAGGTCAACTATTTCGTTTTTTTAAGGAAAGTTTAATTTGATTTTTGTTTACCTTTCCCTTAAGTTATGCATAAAGAAAAATTATTATTATTTTTTAAATTTAATTCTTGCTGAATTATCTTGTACTTATTTTTGTTAATAGTGGATTTGATTCGGAGCGTAGTTTTTTCCTTAACATTGAAGAGTTTTTCATATAAAATTTTGCATCTATTTAATTTTATAATTATTATTTACTTATTATTTTTTACTCAGTTGTACATCAATTTAGCTTAGAGTTATGGTTATTAGTTCCTGCTATTTAATATGAGATTAACTTAGTTTACACAATTAATTTTATCTCTGTTCGGAACCTAACAAGTGGTATCAAAGACAAATTGATCGGTTTGTTGATTGATTTGTGGTCTGAGATTAATTATGTGAATTAGGATGGAGGAATTTGTTGGTATTTATTTTATTCAAATTATTCAATTTGAAAGTCAAAGATAGAGGATCTTCTTTATTGTAGAGAATTATATGTTTTCATTAAGTTAATAACTACTAAGCTAATAAAAAAAATCAGATAATGATTGGGAGAAACTGCATAAAAAGACTGTAGAAACTATCCAACTGTCAGTGGATAATAATGTCTACTATTATATAAATAAAGAAGTGAAAGCACAAGTTTTGTGGAACAACCTAAAAAATATGTATGAGAGAAAAAATGCTCGGAGTAAGACTTTTATTATTAGAAAGCTTGTCAATCTGAAGCTGAGAGATGGACAATCACTTGCAGAACACTTAAGTAAATTTTAAGAGTTGGTAAATGAATTAAACACAATGAAAATGGTTGTAGATAATGAATTGCAGACAATTACAAAACCTTAATAGTGTCTCTTAACAATTCTACTCCATATGGTATTTTATCTTTTCCTGTGATAATAGATAGTCTTTACAATGAAGATATTAAGAAAAAAAATATGGGTATTGAGACTTCATAGATATTTATTACTACAACAGAGAGTAGGGATATAAGTAAAAGTAGAGATCCTAAGGAATGCTATAAATCTAGAGGTAAATCATATGCGAAAGAAAAGTTCAATTGTTATCATTGCGACAAAGAGAGACATATGAAAAGAAATTGTAAGATTTGGAAAAAAAAATAGTATAGTGAGAAAAATAAGAAAAAGACAGATAATCAAAATACTACTGCACTTATAGCTGATGATAGTGAAGAACTGGTTGTACTTTCTTTTGTTGAGGATCATAACCACGTCAGAAATTTTGATAATGTATGGGTTGTTGATTCTGCAGCATCCTATCATGTGTATACTCAAATGTGATGTATTTACTATGTACAAAACGGGAGATTTTGGCAGAGCGGAGATGGGTAATACTAGTAATGCAAACATTGTGGGTATTGGTGATATTTTATATGCGGATAGATTTGGGTTGTATGTTGACTCTGAAGAAACATGCAACATGTACCAGATTTACGTCTTATTTTGATTTTTACTAAATGCTCTGACCTATATGATAATACAATCTATTTGGTGGTAGAAAATGAAAACTAATAAAAGGTTCAATTGTGGTTGCTAGAAGCAAATTGTGTCATACACTTTACAAGACTCAGATGAATACTATTAGAGGTGCATTGAATGTAGCTGAAGATGATGTTTCACCGGATTTGTGACATAAGAAACTGGCTCACATGAGTGAGAAGGGGTTACATATTTTGACAAAGAAGTCCCTTATTCCCTTTGCAAAAGGTATGAGTCTAAACTCTTGTAATTATTGTGTGTATGGTAAATAATATAGAATTTATTTCACTAGCTCATCTGAAAAGAAAAAAGATATTCTTGAATTAGTTTACTCTGATGTATATGGTCTTATTGACGTGGAAACCATAAGAAGTAGCATATATTTTTTTACTTTTATTGATGATGCTTCACGAAAGGTTTAAGTGTTTGCGTTAAAAACAAAAGACCATGTTCTTTAGTATTTTAAGCAATTTCATGTCATGGTGGAAAAAGAGAAAGAAAATTTGTTAAAGTGTCTTCGTAGTGACAATGGTGGTGAAGACACTTCAAAGGAGTTTGAGAATTACTACATACAATATGAAATTAGACATAAGAAGACAGTGTCTGGTACTCCTCAGCATAATGGTGTAGCTAAAAGAACAAATAGAACCCTCATTGAAAAGGTTAGATGCATGTTGAAAATGATTAATTTACCAAAACTATTTTGGGGTGAAGCACTCTACACTGTCTGCTATTAGATGAATCGATCTCCCTCAAATCCTTTAGATTTTGATATTCCTCGTAGAGTATAGTCTGGGAAAGACGTTTATTATTTTCATTTGAAGGTATTTGGCTGCAAGACATTTATGCATGTACCTAAGGAGCAGATACAAAAGCTTGATGATATGACATTTTAATGTATTTTTCTGGATTATAGAGATATAGATTTTGGGTACAGACTATGG